AAACCTATACAAATATTAGCTCAAAATGGATCACAGAGGTAAATATAAAATTTTCAAAGAAAACGTGGGAGAAAATACTTATTACCTTAGGTCAGAAAAATAGTTAGAGATAACATCAAAGCTATGATCCATAAAAGAAAAAAAATTATTAAGTTGAGCATTAAAATGAAACTTTTGTCATGTAAAAGACACTGTTAAGAGAATGAAAAGGTAATCTAAAGAGTGGAAGAAAATATTTACAAATCACATATTTGATTAAGGACTTATATTAAGACTATATAAAAAAGCAAAGATTATTTAATTGATTTAATAATTATCAGCTTTTAACGGGCAAATATATATATATATATATATATATATATATATATATATATATATAAAGACAGCACATAAGCATGTGAAAAATTATCAATACCATTAGCCATTCAGGAAATGCAAATTAATATCACAATGAGATACCAATGCATTAAAAAAAAATAATGACAACACTAAATGCTGATGAGAATTAGAGCAACTTGATCCATATGCATCCTGGTGGGAATGAAAAATGGTATAGCCACTCTGGAAAACAATTTGGAAATTTCTTATCCTATGTAATAAAAGAGTAATATAACAATCACCCCAAGACACAAGATGGCTGTGCCCATGTGGTCAAAGATGGCTGCCCCCATGTGGACGTAAGATGGCAGCCACAAGATGGCTTGCAGGGAGGGCAGTTGTGGGCAGTTAGGAGTGACCAGGCCAGGAGAGGAGAGTAGCTGGGGGTGACCAGGATGGCAGAGGAGGGCAGTTGAGGGAGACTAGGCCAGCAAGGGAAGGGAGTTGGGGGCAACCCAGGCCTGTAGGGGAGGGCAGTTGGGAGAAATCACATCAGCAGGGGAGAGCCATTGGAGGTGGGGCGGGGGGGGGGACCAGGACTACAGGGTAGGATAGTTGGGGGGGACCCAGGTCTGCAGAGGAGGAAAGTTGTGGGAGAACAGGCCTGCAGTGGAGGAAAGTTGTGGGGGACCCAGACTGCAGGGGAGGGCAATTATGAGTGACTGGGCCAGCAGAAGAGGGAAGTTGGGGGAAAGCAGGCCAGCAGGGTAGGGCAGTTTGGGGGGATCAGGCCAGCAGGGGAGGGCAGTTTGGGGGGACCAGGCTTTCAGGGGAGGACAGTTTGGGGGATAAGACTTGAAGGGAAGAGCAGTTAGGAGTGACCAGGCTATCAGGGGAGGGCAGTTAGGATTGACTGGACCAATAGGGGAAAGCAGTTGGGGGTGAACAGGCCTGCAGGGGAGGGCAGTTTGGGGCAATCGGGCTGACCAGGGAGCAATTAGCCATTGATTAGGCTGGCAGGTAGAATCGGTTAGAGGCAATCAGGCAGAGGCAGGAGAGTGGTTGGGAGCCAATAGTCCTGGATTGTGAGCAGGATGTCCAACAGACCATTTAGGCCCAATCCCAAACGGGCGGTCAGACATCCCTCAAGGGATTCCAGATTGGATAGGGTGCTAGTTGGGCTGAGGGATACTCCACTTCCATGCACAAATTTCATGCACCAGACCTCCAGTAGTTATATATGCACTTACCATATATCAGTAATGCAACTAAGAGTATTTCCCTTAAAAAGTCAGAAAGTTATTCTCATGCAAAAACCCATATATAGCAGGTCTATTCATAATTAAAATAAAACAAAACAAAACAAAGCAAAAGAAAACAAAAACAAAAAAACACGGGAAAATATCCAAATGTTCTCCAGGATAGAAATAAATTCACTTTGGAACATTCATACAACAGCAATAAAAAGGAACAAACTAGATGAACCAATATGAATGAATCTCAAAGGCATTTTGCTAAGTGAAAGAAGCCAGTCTCAAAAAGGTAAAGCTTATATAATCCCATGCCTATGGCATTCTGAAAAAAAGCAGAGCCATTGTGAGGAAGAATAATTCAGTGGTTGCCAGGAGTTAGGGATTTGACTATGACTACAAAAAGGCAGAAAAAGGAAATTTTTTTGAAGTAAAGGAACTAGTTCATATCCTAATAGTGGTCTTACTCAAATCTATTGTATAAATATAAATATAAACTTAAATATAAACATAAATATAAATTTATACACTATATGTTATAACTCATAACACTATATGCTATAAAATTCACCTATTATATATAAAATTTTAAAAAGCAAATAAATTATTTCCTCATTATAAACAAATTTTAATGAATAAAATATTTACATTTGTAAGACTTGTTCTGCTATAATACTTTTAGTTTTATTTTAACACTAGAGGCCCGGTGCATGAAATTCATGCATGGGGACACGAGTAGGTCCCTCAGCCTGACCTGGGCCCTCCAATCTGGGAGCCCTCAGAGGATATCCTACTGACGGCTTAAGCCCTTTCCCCAGAGTTCTCTGCTCTCTGCAGACCTGCCTGCTTGATGTCGCTGCAGGTTCTAGTGTCTGCTCTCTGCAGGGGCCTGCTTGCCCCTGGCTGACAAGCAGGGCCCTGCTGTCTGCTCACTGTGGGGGCCCTGGTGTCTGCTCACTATGGGGGCCCTGGTGTCTGCTCTCGGCAGGGACTTGCTTGCCCCTGGCTGCCACAGGGGCAAACACGGCCCTGCTGTCTGCTGTCAGAGAGGGGCCGATTTGTCCCTCACTGCAGGGAGGACTAAAAAGACTGGGGGACTCCAGCAGAGCTGAAAGGACTGGGAACCACCATCTCATGGCTATGGGGATCTCCATATTTGTGACTGAGTGACGGTCAACTTGCATACCCATCTTTGTTAGATAGGATCATATTTCATTTGAACATTTAATACTGAACTTGTTTCCAAGGACATTCCTTGAGATTACAAAAGTGTCTAATACTCTTTTTTTATTCACTTAGCAGAGTACCTGTCACAGAGCAGTAGCTCAAATATACTCATTAACTAAAATAAATGTTTCACAAAATAACTCAACCCACAAAGCACTACTATATGATTTAAAGTTTATATCAGCTATTTATCATTCTTTAAAGTTTATTAACCCGAGTTTCACTACATTTAATTAATACCTACATTTACAAATGGCTATCACAAATGAATTTAAACAGATTTCAGGAAGGAAAAATTCCACACTTTTTGTAATGACTCTTAACATTTAATTCAAAGAGCTACCTGTAATATACACACATTGCTGAATGAACAGAATGTTCTAACAGTTCTCTAGCTTTCTTAAACATGACTCATTATTTTTTCTTTAGTTCTATTTCATTGATGAATAAACCCCAAATAATAATCCCCACTTATAGCTAAACTCTGTCTGGAGTCTTCTTGAAAAGACTAGATTTTGCAACTAAGTAAATCAGTTTTCTCACCTAATTCACTTCGTTCAAAATTAACTTTCATTTATGTAGAAAAAAATAACACTGAAGATTACCAGAGGATGAACTGGTATGTACTACAATATGGATAAACATTAGGAAAACATTATGCGGAGTGAAAAGAGGTTAGTCACAAAGGAACAAAAGTTATGTAATTTCATTCATATGAAATGTCCAACATAGGAAAATCTATAGACAAAGAAAGTAGATTAGTGGTTACTATTGCTGGTAGGTGGAGGGAATGGTGAGTGGAAGAATTGGGGAGATCACAGCTAAATGATGTTGAGATTTTAGGGGGGTGCTTAATGAAAATTTTCTAAAATTTATTGTGATGCACAACTGTTCAAATATACTAAAAGCTATTGAACTATTCACTTTATATAGTGAATTATATGCCTTATGAATTATAACTCAATAGAGCCATTGATATTATCAGGGAATGTTTCTGGGACAAATTTATAAAATTATTTTCAAGATAAGAGACTACTATTAGCATCGAGAAATTAGCACTAATAGAGTGTAGTACACTTTAAGAGGTAATTGGAAGTATACATTTAAATCCAATATGATCATTTGCTCAAATGTTTACAATTACACAGAAAAAATAGTAATCTAAAGTTACATGTGGTATTATATAGTATATAAGATTTTTACTTATAGCTAAGAAAATTCAATATTTAATTATATTATGCCACACATAATGCTATATTCTAGTAATCTAAAAAATATCCAGGCTTTCCCCAAAACTGCATGCTCTGGATATCAAAAATTAACTCTAAATGAGAAAATAGTTAAGTAGCAAAAGAACTAATTATGTTGTTCTATCTCCTTTTTGTTTAAAAAAAAAGTACTCTCTTTTTTCTAAGCTGAATATAATAGCCTGTGAATTATAAGATCAATGAATAAAACTGTATGTTTTCTAAAATATGAGAATCCTTCATCAAGTTTTATACTTATAGCAGCTAAAAGACCTATGTGAGGGATCAGCATTAAGCCCTAAGGACATGCAGTGCACAACAAGAAAGAAAGCAATTCCCTAGTGTCTTTTGCAGGTCACTACCAAGGACCATGTTAGCAGATACATACCAGACCCTTAACAGGCAGTTCTGCTGCTACCAGTAATTAGCTTGGACAGCTCTGGCTCCAAGAGTAGCAGCAAGGCTACACCATAATGAGCTCAACTGGGATTAGCAGGACAGGGCAGGGAACCAAGAGAGCTCAGGCATTCTGCACTGCGTATGTATCTAGGAGATCAAACAAGGATGGCTGGCTAGGTTATCCCCTCTCCACCTCATTCCAAAAATGAAGCACGGCAGTGTCTAAAATACAGGCTAATGAAGAGCGACACCTCCAACAGATGAGAGCCACTTTAATTAACACAATCCCTAGATCATATTATATAGTTGCAGCTAGAGCTAGCTAATGTGCAACATGTTATTGTATTATACATATATATTTTACAAACTAGTCCTTTTTAACATTTTTACTGGCCTAAAAAACATGATTTCATTTCTAAATTTTCTAAGCATTTCTCTCAGGGCCTTTAATTCACAAAAACTTTCTCCCAAATGTTTATTCTAAACCCATATTGTAAAAAAAAAAAAAAAAAAAAAAAAAAAAAAAAAAAAAAAAGAAGAAGAAAAGAAAGAAACTTACTTTTGAATCTTTAGTTCCTGGTTTTCCCTTTTGAAATAGGCCAGTTCATTCCATACAGCATCAGAATCTTCTTGTCGAAGTTGTTGGGGATCTGCTCTCTTTATTTTAAAAATAGGACTGAAACCAGAAAAATAAAGTTGCTTTCTTCCTTAACATATTCAAAGTGCAATAAAAATCCATATAAATATTCCCTAAATTTTAAAAATATCTATTGACCAAACATCTAATTCAAGCTCACTATTTATGGAATGAATTCCCTAAAACCTAAGTACATAGAAATTAAAATCCTGTATCATAATTTCCTAAAACGTTAAACTGTTATTGTGGAAAGCAAACTTTCAAGCAGACACATGATGTTACATTTTTCTCATTCATTCTACTAGTAATAAAACATACATTGTAAGATTGTCACAGTTTCTAAAAAAGGCTATAGTCAATCAAGCTATTATCAGTGAATATAAGTAGAAAGTAGTTTTCATACTTCTAGTGACTACTAAAAAGTTAGGTGAGCATCTAAATTATTATATCACTGCTTTACTGAAAGCAATATGAAACATTTTCCATTCTTCAAAAAAAGAAAATTAGATGTGACAATTAGATCTACAAAGCATGCCAAATGCCCTTTATGTTTTCATTTTCTGTACATAAACTCTTCATTTTTATTTTGTAAAAGTGCTGTACTGGCCAATTTAGAAATAGTATTTCTCTATAGAATAGACCAATGTGTACCATCAACACTGCCCTAAAGGAACCTTCTCAAAAAATTAGAGGGAAGTAGATTTTCTGTACTCATTCAGTCCTTTGCCCTTTGTTGATACTGTAAACAGGGGAGTCACTTATGACTAACCAACATCTGAACACCTGTTCAAGAGCAATTGAACTGAGATCTCCAATTCATTCAGCTAAGCTGCAGAACAAACTAATGGATAGTAAAGATTTTCAAATTACATACTAAGTTTAATTAGTTTTAAGGTAGTTAACTATATATATGTGAACTTCACATTTCTCTTCTTTCAATGAAAACTTACTTTTTTAGTCATAAATATGTAACACCAATATTTTATTTATTTAAAACAGTTTTCAATCAAATAAATATGAACAATGAACAATTTTTGCCTTTATAGCATTTATTAAGCTACACTAATGAAGTAAATATATATATAAGAATTCATAATTACTTTATAGCATTTATTAAGCTACACTAATGAAGTAAAAATATATAATTCATAATTACTTATGCTAATAATTTCTGCAAATGGTAGAAAAACCTGTAACTGCTAGCAAATTTCTGTTTCCATTTATTGTATTCTCTATTTAAAAATTCACAATAAAGATTTAACTAACAAATAATTTCTTTAAAATCAAACAAAAGCCATTAAAACACTTATATGATGTTACTCCATTCCATTTAATATTTAGGGAAATGCCTTTACGAGCTATGTAACTCACATGCCACTGCCTTCTTCCCACTGTTTTAATTGCTCTTTTACTGCCCTGTAGTTGGTCTGTAACATCTGTAGCCTTTCCTTACGTTTTTCATGGGCATCTCTTAGCTCATCATTTTCTTGGCTCTATAGAACACAAAAAAAGCAAGCACACAAGTCTGAAGTAAGTATTAGCATAATGTTACATGTAAAAGGTTTCCTATCAAAATATGAAATTTAGAATAATTTATAAATATGAATGAATTTATGCTACTTATGTAATTTAAGAAAAAATGTATTCCTAAAGTCACAGGATTGCTTAATAAATTTGACTTTCATTGATTTTTTTTTAAAGCTGATTAAGTAATTTCAAATATTTGCTATCAAATTAGTTTTCTTTCCCTCTTGTTAATACATACAAATGTTTATTAAGCCCATATTATAGATGTTTTATATTTATTTTTCACAAAAGGATGTCTATATATTAACCTGATTAGTTTGTTAATTATAAGTGCACATATAAATTATGTAAGTGGCTTTAATATTCTTCAGCCCATGTATTCATGATTAGTCTGTTGCAAGACACAATAATTATACATGAGGAAGAAAATAAGTTTGACCCTATGCTAGGAGTTAGCCTTTTGGGTTGTACCATGAAACACTAAAATGGAAAAGTTGGATGTACTACTCCTGAAGAAGTCATGAAATAGACAAACAAACATTACTCAGTTAAACAATTGTCTTAAACAAAGCACATACGATAAATCTTTATTTTTAGATATAACCATAAAATGAACTTATAAAGGCCAAATTTTCAATTCAGAGGATATATTTATAATACTTAAAAACTATGTTTCTCAAAGTAAAGTAAGTACATTCTTGAGTTTTTTTTTACCCTTGAGAATTTCAAATTTGTTTTTTAAGTTCTCATATTTCTGTATGAAGGAACTTATATACTTCTTTAGTGAGGTCAAGAGGTACTCTCTAATAGTATAGTGAGGTTAGATAGTAGGCACATGGCAGTCAGAAAGATCTGAATTCCATTCCTGAAGCTTTCTCCTGTTAGCTGCATGCATAATCTTAAGAACAGTATATAAATTAATTCCATTTCTTGTTCTGTAAAATATACAAGGACAGAGATTTAAACTATGATGACTAAATTAAATGAGCACTGTGATTGCTCTATAGGGGCAGAAAGCATAACTCAGCTTCCTTAAGGCTCTTATCATTTGGAAGCCAAATTCACTGTTTTCCTTGACTATCTATTTCTCTTATCAATAGTAAGATAATATCTAGTGTGCATTATTTTATTGCAATTCTACCTTTTCATTCTACTCTGAATAAATGTCTAGGAGAATAACTTCAGTAATTCTATTAAGTAGTTATTAGAAGTATTTGAGTCATTTGTGTACCAAGTGCTAAAAAGTAACATGGTTCATATCATAGTTAAAAATCCTAGCTTCTGAATTCATTTTTGTTCATTTCAACCTAAGAACAATATTTTAAGAGCCTAAATACAGGGTGTTAAGTGCTGACAGGAGTTGAAGTCCTTTAGCCTCCCATCACTCTGCCTGTCCCCCTTGGGGCTTCACCACATTATTCTCTTTGTCCAGTTACTATGGATATATGAATATACCATACATTCTTTGGTTGCTCTCTTGTAGTCCTTCCCAAACTCCTGCCCTCTGAGATCTGTCAGTCTGTACCATTTATCCATGACTCTAGTCGTATTTTTTTGTCAGTTTATTTTGTTCTTTAGATTCCACATATAAGTGAGATCATGTGATAGCTGTCTTTCTCTGACTAGCTTATTTTGCTTAGCATAATAATCTCCAGGTCTACTCAGGCTATCGAGACCAATAAAAACTTCTTTTTTATAGCCAAGTAGTATTCCATTATGTAAATGTACCACAGCTCTTTTATCCTAGAATGTTTATATAATTCTTATAAAATTATTAAAATCTAAACTATTTAAAATGAAATAAAGTTAGAGATTTGATCAATTAATTTCATGGAATAATATATAATAATTATTTTAACTAAAGGTTCATTCATTAATTTGTGTTTTGATAATGCTAATGTTCAACTGTAATACATGGGTTAAATTAATCCTACAGACTATTGCTCCTTTATCCTATTTCAAAACAGACAGTAAAGTCCTGGACAGGTAGTTCAGTTGGTTGGAGCATCATCCAGTACAGCAAAAGGTTGCCGGTTCAATTCCCAGTCAGGGCACATACCTAGGTTGCAGGCTCAATCCCGGGTCAGGGAGCATATGGGAAGCAACCAATCAATGTTTCTTTCACACACTGATTGTTTTTTTCTTGCTTTCTCTCTCAAAAATCAATAAACACATCCTCAGGTAAGGATTAAAAAATGTTATATAAATATAGCCTACTTAGCTAGATAGATTATATATAGTTCAAATTAAAGTTTTTTTTTGTTTTAAATATATTTTATAGATTTTCTACAGAGAGGATGAAAGGGATAGAGAGTTAGAAACATCGATGAGAAAGAATCATCGATCAGCTGCCTCTTGCACACCCCCTACTGGGCACGTGCCCGCAACCAAGGTACATGCTCTTGACCAGAATCGAACCCGGGACCTTTCAGTCCGCAGGCTGACGCTCTATCCACTGAGCCAAACCGATTTTGGCTAAATAAAAATTTTTCTTATTTTACTGTAAGAATAGATATATATCAGTCAAAAGTTTTATATATCTCAAAATAAATGTTTATAAAGAATAATCAAAATTTTTTATAATATTCTAAAAATACAAGTTAAGTGTAGTTTGAATTATGATTATTTGGGTCCCATTTTTACTTATAATAGCTTAAGTCAAAACAACTGCAATTCAGTTGGGAATTATTACCCCCAAAGTTTTTTTGTTTTTGTTTTTGTTTTTTTAACAAAATCAAGTATAAGGAATAAAAAATATATGTAACATCACTAATTACTACATTTTCCTAAGAGAACACACAAAAACATGAAATGGACAGTCAATGAATTAGAACCACTTATTAGATCATTCAATAAAACATTTGCTGAGTACCTTTCATGTATTTTGCAATTAAACTAGCTAAACTAGAGGCTCCAACTTCTATTTTTAACTTCTATGTACAAACAAGTCTAAACAACATTCAAAAATAGGAAAGTTGTATCAACTGACTTTCTTCAATGATATATGCAATTCTACTTTGAGTTCATAAGAACAGAAGGATTCCTAATCTAATTTTCCAGTTGAAGAAAGGCTTCTTGACAGGCATAAGACAAACTGAGAGTATAAACACTGTTAATGAAACATTGGTTCAATCTTCAGGGAAAGAGAGTAAGGTTTATAAAATGCAAGTACTCCATGGATTTTTAATTTCAGCAGAATACATAAAGTTATGAATATGAAAGCATTAAAAGAATAAAACATAAACTATAATCAGAAGACATATTGATGTTATTAAATGGCATAAAAAAGTACTAAAGGAATCAAGTTGCCAAATGCATGAAAGTTAGTAGAGCAGAGATTCATGGTGTTAGTGATCTCAAGGATAGTATGAATTTCATAGAGCTCTAATGCACTGCTTTCCAAATTATACTTGGTAAGTTGTCAGTTCACTACATTCATGAAGTCAGGATTTGAAACTGGATGGGGTTTTTGTAATAGGTTTCATTGCTTCTATTACTGTTGGCTTTTTTATTACATCACTGGTTACCTATCTTGAAAACTTGTACAACTAGCCACAAAAGAAAACTGAGCAAGAGAGTGTGTTAATATTTTTACAAAACTCAAAAGTAGTATTAAAATAATATTCATGATTTATGACTGATCTAATAAAGACCATCATTTCAATGTATCAAAGTGTATATACGTAAATTAAAAAGCACCCTGGGCCCAATCATTCTCTTTAGAATTGCTTTTACATTACAGGTTTTGTTTACCCACTTCTTTTGTTATATGCACTTGAATTACAGAACCCATTTTTTGCAACTCCTTTACTTCTTTAAAATAAGAAATTTTTCCCTACTAAATGATGACAGGCAAAAAAAAAAATATTGCTCCCATTTTTGCCTTATCTTGCTAATGTGTGACAGAAAACATACATTTAAAATTCATGATTATCATAAACTTGAAAAAGGAATATAGAAAAAGTATAGATGAAAAATAAATGGTCTGAAAATCAATGTTACTTTGAAAAATAAACTTGAGGCTTCATGCAAGAGACCTGTTATTAGATAAAAGAAATGAGGAAATAAATTAGTAGAATGCTACTGAGACTTTCTGAAATAAGAAATTAAAGAGGTGGAGGAAGATAGCTTTAAAAATATCCCAAAGGCAAGGGTTACAGAATACTGGGGGCAAATGAGTGGATATCAGCTACAACTAAAGAGGATATTTTATGGTTCATTTTATATGGCAACTTCATTGCCTAGATATTTAGTTAGTTAATAATTATTTTGGGGTGTATCTGTGAGGATGTTTATGCATGAAATTAAAATTTAAACTAGCAGAATAAAAAAGCAGATTGCTCTGCCCGGCCTATATTGCCTAATGGTTGAGCATCAACCTATGAACCAGGAGATCACGGTCCCATTCCGGCTCTGGGTTGTGGGCTTGATCCTCAGTGTGGGGCATGCAGGAGGCAGCCAATCAATGATTCTCTCCCATCATTGATGTTTCTGTCTCTGTGTGTCTCTCTGAAATATATATATATATATATATATGTATATATATATATATGTATATATATATATATATATAAATTTATATATATATATAAATTGCCCTTAGTAATGTGATGGGCTTCATCCAATCCATAGAATAAGATGCTGAGTAAGAAAGATTTCTTTCTCTCTTGGGTGGGGACTGGAACTTATACCATCATCTCTCCTGGTTCTTAGGACTTTGGATAAGACCAGACCTATTCCATTGGCTTTCCTGGATCTCCAGCTTAATGACTGTAAATCTTGGACTTCTCAGACTTCAGAATAACATGAGCCAACTCTTTATAGTAAATCAATGTCTCTCTCTTCATACATACATCTCTATCTTTTAGAATAATGATGTCTCATTCAAGAAGATTAACGGGTTATAACCTATTGGTTTTGTTTCTCTGAAGAATCCAGAATAATATAGGATAGAAGCCGTGGTATGTGAATTTCAAGAACTATGCAAGAGGAAAATGATAAATTGACTTCCTAAACATGCCCATATGCTGGAAACCAATTGCTGTTAAACTAAAACTAATAGAGAGATGTGGACAGTAAGCCCTGAAGGCTGGTCAACAACCTTAATTGCTTTAACCACTCACTGTTGAGCAGAGCAGCCTATACCTCTGTTTGTCTTATGTAAATTTCTGTTATTTCCTGCCTAAGGACTATGGGTGTTTCCCATAGTTTCAATAAAAGGGATAGGAGCAGAGAGTAGTCCTGTCACTAGTGGAGGGTTCCCTCTTGGCCCCCAATATCGCCAAATTAATACTTTTCTAGTCTCTTTTCATTTGTGTGTGGCCTTCTCCAGAACCTGATTCAGAGCCGGAATCCTGAACCGGGCATGATGTGAAAGGGGTTCCTACACCCATATATCCTGTAACACCCAAATGTTGACACTAAAACAGTAGATTTATCTAATCATTCAGTATGTTCTTATCTAGAGAAAGGATCTTAGTGATTGAAAGTCATCTTTTCTCCTATTGTACAAGTGACTAGCACTTTGGCTAACTGTATTTTTTATTAAGTTCTGGAGTAAACAGATAAATAGGCAAATAACTCCAGGCATACAAAATTAAGTAGGCTAACTGCTAACAAACTGAGGTCATAATCATGGTATTTTATTTGGGGCAGAAAAAATAGATAATAATTTTCCTTTATTTGAGAATAGTTTAACTCTGAATAAATAGAAATTAATACAATGTTTAGTGAAAAGGTAAAAAAAATTACTAATTGTACCTCTAAACCACATTTTGTTCTAGACAAGTGGTAGCAAACTGTGGCTCATGAGCCACATGCGGCTCTTTGAGTGTGGCTCTTCCAAAAATACCACGTGCGGGCACACACATACAGTGTGATTGAAACTTCATGGGCCATGCACAGAAGTCGGCTTTCAGCTCTCAAAAAGAAATTTCAATTGTTGTACTGTTGATATTTGGCTCTGTTGACTAATGAGTTTGCCGACCATTGCTCTAGATTATACATAATGTAAATCAAACTTTTTTCTCCCTAAGAGTAATCTATATTATATGCAAAGTATCTAAGCTTTAAATGTGTTAGACTAATCATGTGTAAATTGGGCTCGTCACAGAATATCATAAAACTATTTGAGAATCAATTAAGTGGCAAAATCTCAAATAGAGCAGGCCTTCAGGTAGTTGTAAATGAAAATGACAAGATTAGCCATATTAAAATCTCAGAAAAATAAAATTCCTCAATTAACATTGGTTCAATATGCACAACCAACTTCTTCTGAGAAATAGAATTCAGAGTATAACTTAGAAAATACAAACTCGCAAAAATAAGCTGAAAGGTATATACTTCTTAAACATTGGTAGAATGCCAATTCTAATGTCAAATATTCTAAAACAAATTCAATTGAAATGGAAAAATAATGTATATTTATTTACCATTTTGACTATGTAATGTTTCTGTAAAGGATACTAAGTGGCCTGAGCTAGGTTGTATAGTTTCTAACTCACTTGTCTTTTTGTTTATCTTATATAAAAAAGCACAAGAAATTGCTTTTTAGTTGCTATAGTTCTATTTTTTCCTCTCAGAAACTATAATAAATGTATTTCCAATATTAAGCCAAAATATTCCCAAATAATTTTAAAGTGATAGTTTTCAAATAGCATTTTTTATTACTTTGTGATCCTCAGAAATCTTAAAACAAGACCAACTGATCACACATTTTAATACATATATTCAAATTCAGGGAAGATAAATGATAAGCAGTAATTTGTGAAATGAATGTTTACTTTCTATATCTTTACCTTTGTAAGGTTATTACTAAAGGAATGATTTAATGTTCACCTTTAGTTGTAGTGCCTTCTCTAAGTTTTCAATCTTTCTTTCAGCTTTTCTCAGTTTCCTTAGCTCCTCTGAGTCTGTGAAAGATCTCTTTGGGGACAAAGACCTTGAACGTTTCACAGGTGGTTCCTGGAGAATAAAACAAGGACATGGTTGAACTAGTTGGAACACTGGATTATGAAAGACATGCAAAATTCAAGAACATGTAATTTTGAATACTAATAATGAATTATAAAAAAAAAAAAAATCCTGCATGGAATACCGGAGAAATAACAAGCGGAATTACCACAGTGCTACTGCTAAAGGTTTCTCTGTGACTCGTTAATGAGAATATTCATTTACATTTACATTGTTTCTTTCAGAATAATGATGTCCCATTAGGGAAGACTAAAGGGTTATAGACTCAGAAATGCAAGAAACCTCATTACAAAGGAGGGGATAGAGGCTGGTCTAATTGCTCTACAAGGGTCCAAGGTTACACTTGATAGGACAACCAGAAACAAGAGGGAAAGGATTTTTTTCCCCTTTGAAATAGTTTAACACACTGTGAAGTTGAAGGAACAATATGCTTGAGGAATATAAATACAACAGACAGTAGATCTTATACCGTAATGACCATATGGTCATTAACTATAATGTGGCTAACTAGAGACATGAATGTGTGCTTATATTATGTACAGCTTCATATACCAATCTGGAGAAGGAATATGTAAAAGCAACTATTAAGCTGAGCAACATATTGTTCATACTTACTGAATATCCTTATGAAAGAAAAAAATTTTGTTAAAAATATGCCTCCTGTTTTCTTGACTTTTGTTAAAAGCAATGAAACAGCAAGTCAATGCATTTTTAAACTTCAGCAATAAAGCAAGTAACCAAATTAGGTCCTGTAATGTTTTCTTTCAATTTTAGGAATGTCTTATTTCACTTAAATAATGCTCAATGCCATGAAAGTACTCCAAAATTGCAAGAAACATAAAATACAGTTATGCTTAAATAAAAAAAGTACATAATCATACATATATACATAAAGCTCATTTTTTCTAAAAATTACTAACATTAGAGGGAATAAATAAAAGTACCACAAAAACCTGGATCTAATTTTAAATGCTTTCTTTATTCAGATAATTTGTTCTACTCAGGAAAAACTGAAAAGAACAAAAAACAATTACCTTAAAATCATGGCTTACTACTTAATAAAAACATTATTTTCTATTGCTGAACTAACAAGTATGAGAGAGATATGTCTAAAACTTTTTTTTAGGGAAATGTTATTTCAATTTTGTCTAGAAGTAGCATATTTACAATGTGATATTATGAAGTTTTAATATTAATCAATGTTCAAAAAATTTTTTGCAGCATAACAGGAATATATAATGTATATTACAAAAAGGGAAACCTGAGACAGTAATAGAGAACAAATATGCTACAAAATTGTTTATTTTTCACTATTGCTATGCCTTTAAATCTCAGTATTTATAACTGTACATATTAATGTTAAATTCCATTTAATATTTTATATTCCACATGAGCAGTATTTAAATATCATTGAGTGAAAAATTAAGATATCTATTTCTTATAATTAAAATTAGAATATTGAATTAGTGACTATACCACTTTAAAATTATTATGTAGATTAATGTTTCTAATTAATGCATTTATCTAATCTATAGATAAATTAATATATGAACATTACTGCAAAACAGGTATAATAACACTAATATATTTCATTAATTAAAGTAGGAATATATAGTCAGTCTTTAAAAAGGGAAAACATTCTTCTCCCAATTGCTTTAATGAATGTTTGGCACATACGTTTTTTAAAAGCAGGGAAGTAAATGTGGTTGTTTGTTTTTAAAGGTAATTGCTTGCACTGCCAGCTTCATTCTGACAAATTCACAAAAATTATAAAAATGTCCCTACCTTTTGTTTCCCTTCAACACTTGTCCAGATGTTCTTTTCTGAGGAACCCTGGCTGATCAATCTGTTCTCTGACAGTTTTTCATTTGCTTTTTTCAGTCTCTCCTGTAAATACTCAATTTCAGACTTCTGTGACACCATTAAGGTTTCTAAACTCGATAAAGATGGCCGTTGAGATACCTATTTTAAAAAGCATATTTGCAAATACAATTACAGCTTATATTATTCACATATATGCAAATATTTAAATATAACCTGTCATAATTACTCAGAGAATGAAAATTTCATTTCAATAATAAACTGTAAGTCAGCACTAGCTTAACTTCTATCATTCTACAAAACAACCAAAAGTCTGTATAAACATTTTCATAAATAATATTGTCATACAGACTTGCAAGAGAACAAATTTAAAGCGTGATTTAATAATTGAATAATACACACCACTTACTTAAAAATTATTTCAAATTTATGATTATATGCATATGTATTTCCTCATGAAATACTCAATCTACCATCTGATCATCAAGAGTTATGCAATACCATGGGATCTAAAACTGAAAAAGGAAACGAATAGTACTATAGGCCTAATTAGCTTTTAATGCATTATAATTTAATAATAACAATTCAAAGAACTCTGAATTGTTAATATAGTTTACAGTATTCTCTTTTGAAATTTATTCTTATGTCTGTCAGACAAACTGCTAATGGTTAGCACCACATTTTAAAAAATATATATTTTATTGATTTTTCATAGAGAGGAAGAGAGAGGGACAGAGAGTTAGAAACATCGATGAGAGAGAATCATCGATCAGCTGCCTCTTGCACACCCCCTACTGGGGATGTGCCCACAATCAAGGCACATGCCCTTGACCGGAATCGAACCTGGGACCCTTCAGTCCACAGGCCAATGCCCTATCCACTGAGCCAAACTGGTTTCGGCAAGCACCACATTTTAACAACAGAAATCACAGAAACTTTAAGCTTGAAGAAACCTGTTCATAAAAACTAGCATTCTGCAAAATTCTATTGCCATCCTAACTGAATATGCTTGAAACATTAAAATCTATGTATATTTGCTATTTAAAATTAACAACTTCATTTACAAAAATAAAATATACTAACTCTTAGTTAAAAGTTTTTGTTGATTTCAAGCAAAATCAAATCTTATGATTCTAATATTAATATGGATTAAGTAGCCCTGAAAATAATTAAAAAATATATATATTTTTTAATTTTATATATATATAAATATATATATATAGATAGATAGATAGATAGATAGAGAGAGAGAGAGCGCTCCATATCTCCTAAACAATATTCTTTTCTTTTTGTAAATATATTTTATTGATTTTTACAGAGAGGAAGGAATAAGGCTAGAGAGTTAGAAACATCTATGAGAGAGAAACATCAATCAGCTGCCTCCCTCACACTCCCTACTGGAGATGTGCCCGCAACCAAGGTACATGCCCTTGACTGGAATCGAACCTGGGATCCTTCAGTCCGCAGGCCAACACTCTATCCACTGAACCAAACCAGTCAGGGCCTAAACAATATTCTTAAAGACTATGATAAAAAATATATTTGTCTAACTTTTCTGAACCAAGAATGCGAAATAGTATCCTTTTCTGATTTTTGACTACTACTTTTTTCTTTTTTTACGGGATTGGCAACATTTTCCTAATTCTGAACTGTAATTTTTATAATTAGTGAAGCACCTATCTGTGATTTATACTATTATATTTCCTTCATATATAAATTACCTGATTTGTTTCCCAAACTTTATTCTATTATTCTATTAAGCTTTTCCTCAGTGTTATTCATATATTGTACCATTACCACACTTAAAATATAATAAAAACTTATTCTATTACCTTGCTATGAACATCAAAATAAAATACTTTAAGGCTTTCCTTCCAAATTCTAAAGGACTTTGCCCAATTTTTTCATGGCCCTTTTAATAAGTGTATAACTTTGACTTCTTTTATTATTCTTCCTATTATGTAACCCAATATATAATGTCTATAAACTATATCATTTTTAGATTATTTTAAATGTTTTCCTTTATTTAAAATTATTGGGATGACACAGGTTAACAAAATTATAAAGGCTTCAGGTGCACAATTCCACAACACAACATCAATGTATGTTCACCACTCCAAGTCAAATCTCTGTCCATCACCATTTGTCCCCCCTATATCCTCCTCTACCTCTCAACCCCCCCCCCCAGTAATCATATCCTTTCCTTGAGATGCCAATTTAAACAATATTCAAAGACTGCCAACTCTTGTCCAGATTTCATTTTTTTAAAAACTATGAAAAATATGTCAAATATTCCATCATTTCCAAATAAATTTTAATGGTTCAAGGTCAAATAAAAATTTAAAATAAAAGAGGAAAATATAAATTAATTTATTGTATATCCAATACACAGTCCTATGTTGTTTAATAAATGAGTTTTGTAAGTCATCATTAAATTAAAATGCAATTGACAAAAATGCAAAAACATAAATATTCAGTTAGGAAGCTGCAATGATAAATAATTCAAATATTCATGAAGACATTAAAAATGGTCCATCAGTAGATATTGTCACTATAACAGTAAAAGATTTCATACTTAGGAAGGATTCCTTCAAAAGACCTCAATAACCAATAACATAACTTTAAAATTAAAAATAATAATTTTATATATATATATATATAATTTACTCCTATAAAGACACACACACACACATCCCAGTGTATTTTTTAATGTGATCTTCTCTCCTCTCTCTAGCAACACACCTTTTATCACTTTCCTAGATATACATACACAAGAAGTATTTCAGATTTCTCTTAACACAACCGTTTTTTAAAGCATAAGTGAAATGTCAGATGACACTCAGCCTTATTTTGAGAGAAGGCAATTTGTGTCCGTAGTTATTCTGCTAACTGTTTGCATAGAGGAATGTGAACTATTACTCCCAGGTCTACTAATTTTCCAAAAGAAGTGAGGAATTTGGATTTCTAAGTGAAATCTCATAATTTTAAAATACTTGCCAGATTTAATTTATGATTTCTGTATTTGAATAACATGGTGGTGAGAGTATAAACTAACAAATTTCAAGGGAAATTTTAAAATATGTATCAACACAAATGAAAATGTATCAAGTATTTAGTTTAGCATTCTAATGATGCTGAGGACTGATACAGAAAAATATAAATGATAAATAGTTAAGTGAAATAAGCAAGCCACCAAAGATTATATATAGTGTATAGAAATAGATTTCTGCAAATATGCATTGGAAAAAATGTTATAGTGTTATTTCTGAGAGACGGGATTATAGGTGAATTATTTGTTTCATATTTATCTGAATTTCCTTAAATTCTTTACAATGAACATGTCACTAAATGTTTTTAAAAAGTATATTTTTCTTTAAATAAAAGGAATTAAAGTTCCATATTAAAAAGATAAATATATGACCTAACTGGTATGGCTCAGTTGGTTGAGGGCTTTCCCATACACCAAAAGGTTGCCGGTTCAATTTCCAGTCAGGTTGTGGATTCAGTCCCCAGTTGGTATATGTATAGGAGGCAATTGATTGTTTCTCTCTCACATGGATGTTTCTCTCTTTCTCTCTCCCTTCCTATCTCTCCAAAATCAATAAAATATTTAAAAATAAAGAGTAAGTATAGATAGGAAAAATATAAATGAAAGTTACTCCATAATCTCTTCATCTCTCAGAGTACACTAATGATAAATTTGGGATTGTTACTTAGACTTAAAAAAAAAAAAGAACAACCATTGTAATTATGCTTTTTAACATGCTTTTTAAAAAATATATAATTTATTTTTTAAATATATTATAATTTATTTTTAGATTAATTTTTATAATTACAGAAAAACTTAGTTCTCCTAAACCTCCCACTCTCACACACCTAGTTTCCCCTATTATGCACCACTAAAATTAATATGGTACATTAATAAACCAATATTCATACATTATTTTTAACTTAAGTCGAGAGTTTATTATTTTTCTAATTTACTTTTCTGTTCCAGGATCTGATCCATACCCTAATACTTTTAGTGTCAAGACAGCACTTCTTGGCTGTGTTAATACTTATTTTTACATCAGTGACAGTATTGAGTATTATTATTCAGGCATAATTTAAGACGCCCCAGCTATTACAATTTGTGTATATTTTTCTCATGATTAGAATGAGCTTTTAAGTTTGAGGGAGGAAGATCACAGAAGCAAAGTGCTATTTTCATCATATCATATAAAAGGTGCATACTATTAACATTTGGCTGTTGATACTGACTTAGATCACCTGGTTAAAGTAATGTCTGTCAGGTTACTCCAATGTTTAAGTGACTCTTTCGTCCTTTATCCATACAATACTCTATAAACCTGTTTTTTAAACTTAATAATTATATGTATAATTATAATAAGTATAATAATATATTTAAGTACCTTGTTTCCCCGAAGATAAGACAGTGTCTTATATTAATTTTTTCTCCCAAAATTGCGCTAGGTCTTATTTTCAGGGGATGTCTTATCTTTCCATGTGCTAGGTCTTATTTTCGAAGGATGTCTTATTTTCAGGGAAACACGGTATATATATCTTTATTTATCCTTATCTTTTTTAAGTGCTATTTTTACAGGCTTAGTAAAATCAAGACAACCAATCCCTTCTGTCTGTGGAAGTTTATTCTATCTGTTGCCCTTAAAATCTTATCAAGACAACCAATCCCCCTGACTATGGAAATTTATTGTTATCTGTTGCCATTAAAATCATAGACTCTTTGAAAAGTTAACTCTTCTTGCTAAGAATTATTAGTATTTTATAAATTATTTTTCTCTATTATCAAAAATCCTGTGCACTTTTCAGTTACAGTATTGAAAGATAATGGTGTGGTGCTAGACCATACTTAATCAGATGAGAAATGATCAGTGAAGGAGGTATTAAAATACCTCCAATTGGAACTAGTCTCTTTAAACTGACCATTATTAAGGCATAATTACTTTTTCACATTGATCCACATAAGTTTGATCAAAAAGTCCTGTAGAAGATACAGAGTAGAAGGAGAGGAAACAAAAGACTTGAAGGGGTATGCCAATTACTATATATAAAAATTAAATATCCAGTAATGTTGCATTAAGTTCAAACAACATTGTATGGCATTAATACACTAGAGGCTG